AATACAGATGCAGCCACATCTCTTTTAGCACTTGGCATAGTCGATATTGAATATAGACGGTAAAATTATTATGCTTAAATGTAGATGGATAAATTCTATAAGATACTACATCTAATACCTAAAAGATAGTTTTCTAGGAATCATTTCTATTGAGAAATATTTTCCTACATCTACATGCATCTCATATGTGACAAAGTATATTTTAAAATTTTAATTAATCTATTTTTTCCTCTCAATACACTTGGTAGCTCATAGATCTCTCTCTTGTTCCCCCAACCCACATTCTCCAAAAACAGGGTTCCGTGCAGTTACCCAAACAAAAATATTACATTCAAGATTGATGAAAATAGCAATAACCCTCATTACCTGGCTTTTGTAATTTGGTATCAACAAGGCAGGAAAGATATAACTGCAGTGCAACTATGTGAGGTATCTATCAATCTTTTAACGTGTGAGCAATATTTGTTTATAATATTGAAACTTATTTTCTAGTTAGGTTCAAGCACTAACGTGCAATTACAATGTATAGACACAAAACTTTGAATGCAAGCTACTTGATCGGATGTATGGAGCAGTATGGACAGCAACCCCACCACCTAGTGGATCTCTATCAATAAGGATGTTATTTAGTGACGACAATGGAGACGAGACATGGGTAGTTCCAGTCAATAGCATACCTCAAAACTGGAAGCCTGGAGACACGTATGACTCGGGAGTACAAGTGAATGCCTAAGACAAAAAATCCTCGTGTTACCTGATTATTTTGTATAACTTATACAAGCCTCTAGCATATTCATGTTAGGATTTTTCCTTTCCATAGAATTCCACAGCTTGTTAAATATAAATGTAATCATTAAATTAATAACTAGTAAAATAAATGGACACAACAGTAAGCATAATTTTTTATTATTGATAATGTTGGACCGTGTGGAACCCAACTGTGTTGTTCACTTACCGCTTGACTGGGGGACATAGTTTCCTATAATATATGAAGGAACATGATAGGAAGGGGCATTTTCCATCAGGCAAGACATAAAAGTGTAGGAAAAACTTGTAATCTCATTCAATATAGTGAAAAAAAGAAAAAAG